TTAGTGAGGATAAGTGCTAATAATGCTAAGTAGAGTATAGACCAGGAGGAATTGTAATTTGTATTTCCTTTTTATTGTCGTGGGCAAGCATTATACAGAGTTATTTTGTCTGCTACATTTATTTAACTTCCATTTCAACAGATAAAGGCGACGTTGTAACACAAAGTCTCTCCTTACAGAATGTTTAAGAGGAATCTTTATATACTCACCTTCACTTTAAAATCTTTTAGAAGTTAAATGAAGAGTTTCTTATCTTTGATTTTTTCAATGATTTATGATGTTTGTGTTGCAATGTAACTTATAAAATTACACCGACAGAGCAAGTTTGAACGGCTAGAAGTTTTTAAGTTTTAAAAGTATTTAAAAGCAACATATCGAAGTGTAAAGTTGGTATACTCAGGACATGTTACTTTATAATTTTATAAATTTCAATTCAATCTTCATAAAATAAAATCTCAGGACTGTGCTTTGCTGTGTTTCTTTTTTAATTTGTTGATAGTGCACTGACTGTGAAGAGAATTATCAGTGATTTTAAAAATGCTCACAGATTATTAAATAATATTTTAATAAAATCAAACGATTTAATTATACGTGGCAATCCTTTGTGAATTGAATTATATATAGACGATTAAGGTAGAGACAGAAATTAACCAATTTCCTCAAAAAAGTTATGACTTACGGCAAGATGAACCTATTCCAAAGGCTGGCAACGATACAATAAAAATACTTTGGTTAATGTTTTCCCTTTATATATATTCTAAAGAACAAATTAAATAACCACGTACTTATATAATGAAGATATTTTTTCTACTGTTTCTTAGAAGGATACGTCATAATATTGACAGACTATTATATGTGTTGTCCTAAATAATTGACAGAATTTTATGAAGTCTCCATACATGTACACTCATATTTGAAACATGCCTTAATCTTTCTCGGGATACGGAATTAAACACAATTATTTATATAATACCAACAACATTAATATATAAAATTATTTAGTGAATATTATAAAATATTTTGACGCCATGTTTGGTCTCTGAGACCTAATAAGCCGCTTATTTTGGATATCACCTGTACTAGAATAATTTACCCGATGGGGCATACAATATAAACCAATAAATCAAGGGTAATAGGCACTCTACCAGTTACACTACCTCGTTCCAAGTGTTCCAGGATAATAATATTAAGTTGGCTTTAATTAAATGTATTTTTGACTGACATCACATAAAAGGACCTAAAGGAGATCTACTACAGTGACCTCAGTGAGAGGTGTATAGCTAACGAAAACTGACCCAGTACGGAATGTATATGTTTATATTCTTTTCAAACTTGGTTAGGTATAGAGAGGGGCCTGGACCGTGGAGGTGAGCGCTCAAAGCGCGTCTGATAGTGGCCCCTTAACCTACACATGGGTCACAAGTCCCAGACACTGTTGAAGCTCCTCTCCCTGCAATGATGGACCCGGCACCTGCACGGCGAATACACGTAATGCTGATAGGTTTCGTCTCTAGTTATACTTATATAGTATCAAAGGCCTCGTGATACAAGGATAACAGCTAGGTTTTACCACCAGTACAAATATTTCACGATTGTAATGAATGGTCTCTCTCAAATTTCTATATTTCGTAAATAAAAGACATTTGCGTTTGAATGATCAAATCTCGAAGTAAGTGCTCGACTTAACAAACACTCCAATAAGTGGTTGTCACTCAATGTAAATATTTGAAGGTCGAAATTAAACTAGCAAATGTATTTATTAGGTGATTAAATTATATTTATTTTTTTAGGTGATTATATTTCAGTACTCTTTACGAATTTTGATTGACGAAAACTCTGCCCATTATCTAAACGTGTTTAAAAGTAAAACAAGCTATCTGCTTTAAGGTAATTCTACAGTATTCAAAATCATTCACACTTTTTTAAAAGCCTATCCTCTAATTTTGCTAACAAACGTAAAGTATTAAAAGTTAAAAAGTAATTGTAACAATCTGTTTACAAATCTTGCGTCACATGTAAATTGTATAAACAAACTCGTGTAACTTGTAACCACAAAGCCGTGAACGCTGACGGCGACAAATCTGTGAGAGCTAATTGAATAAGTTCCTGCGTAAGCTTCATTGGAATAATCTGAGTCAGGCATTATGTTTGTGTTGTTTTAATTAAAGGTGTATATGATTTTTTTGGAGAAGATATGCTCTTCTAGATGAACCTTCCATAGACGATGTACCGTTTCTTATTCGTAGTTAACATTTAACTCAGTAAGTAAACCTACAACAGATTTCACTGACTGGGTATCATAATTATAAACTTCGTCTAATGAATAAGTACTGGCGAAAGTCTTAGATCTCATTATATAAACTTCCCGCTTGTATGTTTTTATAATGATAGTCTAAAGTCACATAACGCAGCATCGTATCAACTACGTCTCGGTGGTAATTACATTTCGTGTTTGTCATTCGTTGGAAATTTCATTTAATTAATACAGGAGACTGTGATATCAAGTCTATGTGAATAATTCGTCCTTTAAGACATTCCAGAAGGGAAATGTTTAGTTAAGTTACAAATTGCGGATTTGTATAAATGAATGCTGCTTTAAAAGGTTTTGAACAATATTCATATATCAATATATACATTCATGTTGTCAAAGAAAGTATTCTGACTAAACGTGACGTATGTTGATTGAGAATAACATTGAGAATTATGATTTCAGAAATAATTTTTGAGGTGGTAAAATAATAAATCCATGGGTATTCGTTTGTTTGTTGTATGAGCACAGCAATGTTGACCATTAAAGTTTTGTTATGTATTTAGTAGTATCGTTACTGAACGGATAAAAACAGATGATCTGATCCTTCTTGGTCATCCTTGTTTCTTCTTTTTATTTATTAATTCTCTAATGAACCTATATGATTCTGGTGATAATTCAGTTAACTGGGTTCTTAGTTTATGTAAACAACAGTGTAGCTTCAATCCTAGCCTTCATATAGTTACATACATATATATGTTTATTTGGGTTCAATCTTAAAAAAAATTCCTTAGTGAAATACGAACATGTGTGTTAGGTCATAATATTACTCTAGACAAATATATAAGTGTAATTGATGGAAGAAAATGACACATATTCATGATGGACGTTCTGATGGTGAGACTAGAAGCTGTTCCTTTCTGTCGCTGTCTCCACATATTACATTTCATTTTTCCATCGTCCCAGAGACTCTCATACGATCAAGAGCAACACTTAATTTGAAACATGTGAAAATAATAAAATCATTGAATTTCTTTTATTGAACCGATCTCCAAAACAATAAATATGAATAGAGTTATAAGTTATACAGCTAATAATTATGATGAGGTAGTAAAGTGTAAGTAATATAAGTTCACGCTGTACCTAATGTTGGTAAATTCGTTCAGCGAAACGTTATTAGTCCGAGGGTTCCCAAAATAAAGCATAAATCAAGAATAATGAGCTTGGGACAAATTAGTGTCGCATATGACGCCGGCGATAACAAAAATGTCTCCCGCTTTATGAAGAGAATTTGGTTAGTTATATATTAGCATGTATTACGTAGCAGGAAATTAAATTTTTATAAGATTAGTTCTATTAGAGCAAACATATCAGTTTAATCTTTAAAATTATTTAAGTATGGACACATTAAATGCAGTTCAGTTCAGTTCACCATTTGTTTTATTAAAACTTCATGATTTATAAAATAGTGTATGGCTATATCTGTTCACAATATTAAAAAGTTGCAAGTTGTAACATAAGAAATATTTTTGCCAAAAAAAGTCATAACGTTTTGTTACCTTGTTTGAAATAACAGTCTCTGATAACTTGTGAATTTCTAACATTTTAAAGTGATCAGTTTCCCTGTTATATAATGATATATATTTTTATACGTAAGATAAATTCTTTTATCTGAAAATGTCTCATGTGTTACTGTTACATTCACAACTACGATAATCATAACTTCAGAAGTTATTAAAAACCTATAGAGATTATTTACATAATGAGATGTAATGAATATGAGAGTAAATACATAAATTATTAGAAAGAGATTTAGACCAATCCTAAGGTCACTCATTGAACCCTGGACCTAAGACGCTAGCCGTTTCCATTTCAGTCCGGAGTTCAGAATAGAAAGTACAAGGCTGAAGAAACAAAGTCACTGACATGATACTCAGCGTCAGTTCCCTGAGGATATAATAAGCCGATCATGTATCAAGATTATCAAACCTTGACTGACTTACTAGTTAATACAGGATGCGGGTTGGCCAGAGTCGGGAGAAGTGGTTAATACCAGGGTTACAGGAGCTATCAGCAGGGTTCAGCTATTGACTGATTAACTGATTGGTACATGAAGAAACACGTTATATACTTGAAGAAGTACATTGAATACAACTTTTACTATCTATGATGTTCATTCGCTTTAATAAGTCTATTTCAACAATCATCTAGAAGCATAGTATGTTTAATGTTATAAATAAATGTATTATATTAGTTGTGTTTTGGTCTGGCAACGTGCTTATAATGATTATAATTAATCATTGATAAGATCTACATTCTACACAACCGTTATAGTTTCAGTAGGTTCTGTTGATAACGACATAATCATTTATTACTTATAATTAGACCTATCTTTAACATTATTTAACCTAATTTCTTGTCCAAACAATGAGACTTTTTCATTTCTCTCAGAATGTCTTCTCTCTATATAACTTAAATGTACCATTTCAATTAACTTTCAAGTTTCATATTTAGTTGTTATTTCTTATTTTTTCAATTAAACGTCTTCGTCTAGACAGATTGTAACCTGTACTTTTTGTATTCATATGTACATATATTATATAATATTTTACGATTATTGTATGGAAAATCGGAATAACCCTATCTCTCAAATTATCAATTCTTTGATAAAGATTTTATCGCGAATTGTGACATATTTTATTTATCCGTAAAGTCTGTTACATTTCATACATGTGTGTGTGTCGAACACAACATGAGGGTCTTAGTATGTTTGTTCCTTGGTCTTGTAGCATCCACCATAGCTGGGAATCATGACAAATATTCCGGGTACGTTCCATCTAATTGTAATTTTAGTTTACTCAATTCTTAAAAATATTTTACTGACGCTTGTTCCCTTCATGTAGGTATACCGTCTATGGTGTTCATACAAACGATCAGCTGCACCAGAAGGTACTTTCGGATTTACAGAAAGATCTCGACTTAGATATTTGGCGACATGGGGTTCCGAAAGCTAGAGATGCTTTGGTTATGGTTTCACCGGAGAATAGACTGGAATTCCTAAAGATTTTGGAAGAAAATAACATGCACCATTACATTCATCTCAATGATGTTGCGAGGTACTTTTACCTAACAAATAAATTTTATTGAGAAAACAAAGTTTTTCAATAATAAAGAAGTATTTTAATAATTAAACTAAACATTATAGGTCTCTGAAACAAAGGGACGATGAATTTTTAAGATGGAAACTGAGCAGAGGAAGTGAATTGTCACTTTTCGAGGACTATCCAAGATACGGTGATGTAATAACAGATTTTGATATAAATAATATAAGATATATATAGAGACTTAACTATGGTTCCATGCTCCACTTTGGACGAGTTGTATGTATATATGTAGTAAGTATATTATGTTATAGATCATCGACTACATGGAGAGGATAGCTCGAAATAATTCATCCATAGTGACTGTAGTGAATGCCGGCAATAGCTTCGAGGGACGACCTGTGAAATACTTGAAGGTCAGCTGGCCTCCATTCCTTCACACTACAGTAAGATCAAGACTAGGAACTTGGTTAATCGAAACTGAATATTTCAGATATCAACAACAAACTTTACTGACACAAGTAAACCTATTTACTTCCTGGAAGCGACGATGCATGCTCGTGAGTGGGTGACAACTCAGGCAGCTCTTTACACCATACATCGATTGATAGAAGACTTGAAGACTGAGGATATGGATCTGATACAAGGAATCGACTGGATCATATTCCCAGTGGTGAATCCTGATGGATATGAATATTCTCATACAACAGTAAGTGGGTCTTTGAAGGTGAATCACAATAAACATTTCCCAATACAATGTTGTACAACGAGGCAGTCTTATCGACTAATTATAATCTCTTCTAGACAATCTCATACTGATAGGATAAAAAGAATCACAATAGTGTTATGAATACAATGAAATACATAGAGTTTAATATAATAAAAATCCTTGTACTACATATATAAAGGATTTATAGTTTAAAACATATTCATGCATAAATAAAATTGGTTAACACTTGAATGATAGACAGATTAAGGGATATGCGATCATTGGAAGGATTAATGGACTGGTCTAGATACAAACAATATAATACAAAGTAATCCGATATACTCACATGTTTATAATTTATATTCCAATACATTTATTAATGTTCTATTATATTATGTAAAACTCCATACGGAGATCCCGTGGATTGTCACTACGAATGTACGTGGAATAAAAATGTACAATTACAAATTCAAATTTAGATATAACTTGAAATTTTATTTATATAAAACTTAGCACATATTTCAACTGTTTCGTTTGTTGTATTATAATAAAACATACCAGTTCGTAATTTATATTACGAGTAATTAATGTTACTTTAAAGTGTCTCTAAGCGCAAGCATTTGAGACATAATCGCATACAATTATAATTATTTCTGCAAAGCGCGTGAGAGGTTACGTAAAACTGTACATACATTACTTTAAGTTGTGTCGAGACTTTATAGTTTTATAAATAATTTTGTCTTCCAGGATCGCATGTGGAGGAAAACACGTTCGTTCAATGCAACGATCAGCGCCACATGTTACGGTGTCGATCCAAACAGGAACTTTGACATTGAATTTAATACAGTAAGCGTGTCTTCTGATCCCTGTTCATCAATATATCCTGGACATGAAGCATTCTCGGAGCCAGAAACACGATACGTTAGAGATATTCTACTGGAGTACAAAAATCGTATCCAAGTATTCATGGATACTCATAGTTATGGCAACTATATTGTTTACGGCTTCGACAATGGGACTCTGCCGCAGAACGCGCTACATATTCATCAAGTGGGTGCCTTAATGGGTGCAGCCATCGATACTCTTAAATTACAAAAAGCACCCTTCTACATTGTCGGTAACTCGATGTACGTCTTCTACGCTGTATCTGGAAGTGGTCAGGATTACGCACAGGTACGCAGCTTTATATACATGATATTAAATATAATAAGTGTGGCAAGAAGAAAAGAAATAAATTGAAATGTTGTCGAGATACAGAGTGGATAATGGACATTGTTCTTTGTTAGCCAGAAAGAACAGAGTATACTTAAACAATTTTTTTTATGTATGTTCAACAGCATTCGCTCTATTTGTTAGGGTTACATATTAGAAATTTCTTAATGAACTTCTAGAAAGATAAAGTAAGCTCATTTTCAAGTTACGCAAAGTCTAAGAAAGTCTTGAAAATTGATACAATTTAAATTGTGTTATAATAAGTACCATCTATGTAGTGGAACAAACTAAGTAACCTTATTGCAAGGATAAATACTTCGCCTGAGATGAATGCCACTTTCAAGTAAAAAGTTTTTTCCATACATATAGCTACAACGGCAAAGCTTCAATTTACTAACTAATGCGAGATTATTTTTAAACTATAGACTATATAAATATATATAGACTGACTGAACGGTTCAGATATTGACTTAGGATGAGATGGATTTTATCTTATTTTGTCGTGATCATGGTTGTTATAAAAAATACGCGTCTGGGGTTTAAACATTTTCTGTATTATATTAAGTAAACAAAGTTTTTAATATCCATTTTTTGTAAATAAGTTGTTCAAAATTTAGGAAACTCAGTAATAAAGATATTACACTAAACGTTCTAAATTGTTTAGTACTTGTATAATAGTAATAAATTATCGTGAGCTATAAAATAAGATTGTATAAACACCAAAAAATAAAGAAATAATAAGATACCAGTATCAGATAGTATACGGAACGTGTCATTATAATATATTATAAAATGGTGTAATACAATACATAGCTAAGATTTTATTTTGTTTTCATTTGACGTGATATTGATATTAGGAATGTTATAATTATACGTAAACTCTAAATAGATATTTAATTCAACTTTAATGACAGCTGTGTCATGTCACGACTGCTGAGTCGTATGACATCACAAAACACCTATAAATATATACAAGAAAGTTGTATTACTTACATTATTTATGACTCAAGAACGGCTGTAGGGATATAGTTGAAAATTTGTGGAGAGAGAGATTAGAATCAGGAGACGGACACGGGATGCTTAATTCTGTTCGATCGAAAAAGAAACAACAATTTCATAAATTACAATATCTGGTTATTTATGGCATGTAGGAAGAAGTCGCGGGAAAAAACTAGTTGTTTATAATAAAAACCTATTATCCTTTAGTTATAATAGATATTTCCTAAAACTCTTTTATGTTTATTTCAGGCAGTCGGTGTAGGATTCTCATACACTATAGAGTTGCCGGGATACGAATATGATTTCCGAGTTCCTCCGTCATACATCAATCAGATCAATACCGAGACCTGGGAAGGTATTGCAGCATCGGCGAGAGCAGCGAGATCGTTTTACAGAGCAAGAAATTAATCAATAATTAAAATATAATAAATTAAACCAGTATTTTAGTATTTCATTATTTATACGTGAATTGAAGACCAGCTTAACCACACTGTTTCTTATCAAGTATAGTTAAATATCTTACAGCGACATTATTAGTAGTAAACTTTGATATATGAAAAGAAAGTACTAGATTAAATTACTGGTTTTATTATAAAAGTCTTGGTTTATCTATCAAGCACATCAGAGAGGAAAAAGCTGATGAGAAAGATGAATCGCTTGTGCAATTGAAACAAGAAAAAAACATTGATATCTATAAGACTGACTTAAGATACTTTTGTGTTATTATTTAACACGATAAAATTATGTTTTCATACGAATTACAAAAATTTAATATTGCTAAGAATTTACCTAACTATTAATCATAAAATGTTATAGAAAATAATAATTCTGTTAATGTTTTTTTCCTTCATTTTTAGTTTTAATTTAAACGTTGAATTAAACATATAAGTAACAGAGCAAAACATCCCAAATTTTCAACCAGCGATCATGAATAATTCATTGCCAGGATTTATCACAAGATTGTACGTTGTCTCATTTACATTGCTTGTGTGAATATTTCATCAAAACAATCAAATTACTCTTTTTTTACGTACATCCTTAACAAAAATATTTAACTCAATATTCCCACACAGATGACATTACTTATTGTTCTTTTAAATTTCAAGCTGCGTTCAAATAAACTTGTTTCATACTAATTCAACTATGCTATATCGTTTTTTTCTTTATAAATCTCCATTGCTTCGTAGTTTAAATACTACCTTTGAATATTTCACGCTATCTTTGAAGTTTTCAAAGATATTAGAGTAGAGTCTGACAAACATATTAATCCTAATAAACCCTCACGTGTTTGATGTAAATGCTTGTATCTTATTATTGCTGAAGTAATGATGCTATACAGCCAACGAAATCCTTCATAAACATAACATTCGTTTACTTCACCACATATAATTAACCAGGTTATTCAAAGGCTTGTTTAAACACCAAGAATTTGTCTTAACTTAAATGTTTTTGAATTCACTTCATTAGATGCGCTTATATTTTTATGGAGTAACAAATTTTGTATCATTAAAAAGTCTTTAATATGTATTAAATATCTGATAAAAGTCATTTTACACTTATATATGAACCTAATTAAGGAAACCTGAATATTCTACACTTATATAAAAATAAATAATTTCTATTATATGTAGTTTAGTGCAGCATACTACATTAGTATATGTGGTGGATAATTTCTCACGCATCAAAGATGTGGTCGCTAACCATGGATTGTATTAGAAAATTCAAAACCACTCAGAGGACATTGTTGGTGTTATACTTAGAAACTAATAAAGTAATCGCTTCATAGAAGAGTGGATCTGTTGAATGGCTAAAGTGACCTTCATAGTAGTGAAAATGCTATTCTCAAGTTATTGCAGGCTGGCTACAGAGTTTGAAGGAGCTTCGAATATAATGTCCTCATATGTACTTATAAGACCGTCTTCTAGATAGACATACGATCAGACCAGTGTCACAGGATTTTGTACGACGTAGGTTATGTCTGTTCCTTGGTACAGTACTTGGTTCATCGTGAAGTCACTTCAAAGTATAATTAGAATATTAATAATCTAAATCCCTGTTGCAAAATAAACAAACCGAGAAGAAAGAAACTAAATTAAATGAGATTAACATTCGAAGGCAGAAACATAGATTGAGCGAGGCTAATGATAATTCAATTAATTAATTGAGTTAAGATTCCTTGAATTGATTAATGGATGCTATTAAATAAAACGGCTATTTGCGTTTTACAGGGAATTGAAACACCAATCTGGCTAAAGAGTTATTGTTGAACCAATTATAACCCTTATTACACGTCCGCATTAAGGATGAGAATAGTTTGAATGAAACATTCATAGTATTTTGTTAATTTTTATTTCAATTCTATGTAGATCACGTATTCAAGTGTGTATGTAAAAAGAGATAAGTAGAGATCCTTCGATAATATTAATCATGATAATAAAAATAGCTGTTTTATGATCCCGATAAAATGTATAATAAATGTAGCTTCATTACCGTTTAAATCCCACTGATACTTTTGTACAATGGCTTGTTTTATAATATTATTATTTGCTTCGATATTTTCTATTAGTTTTGCTGGAAAACATGATATTTATCGCGGGTAAGCGCATTTTGTTTTAAAGAAATTGTAACGCGAATTTAGATCGTAGGACAGTTTTTTTATGAAGGAATATATCGTTTTTTTTTAAATCACTTTAAATTATAAGTCTGGCTTACAGCAAGTGTTAGGAGTTTTTCGGAGAAAATATACTCACTTACAGAATTTAATTGAAACTTAGCTGCCATTTGAAGAATGTTGCAATACTGTATATTTTTTTCATTCTTTTATAGCTCTCCATTTAGAAACGCGTCAAGTTGTAAGGAAAATTTCTGACGAGTTATTTTTAGTCTTGATGATTCGACAAGTTATTTTAGGGTTTAATAAATTTCCAAATAAAGCATAATTGAATAATTTTATTTCAGAATACGTAGAGTTCATTGTTCTACAGTGTCAGTGTATTTTTGACACTACCAGTCAAACTTTTTATAGTTATATATCTATTCATTTTTCAATCAAGACCTGTGTTTTATAACATATTTTTTAATAAAAATTTCTTCAGTTACATTGTATACGGTGTCAAGTTAGAAGATCAAGTGGACCAAGAGGTATTTTATGGGTTACAATCTGGACTGGATTTAGACTTATGGGAGTACGGAGTGCCCAAAGTTAAAGATGCTCTCGTCATGGTCTCACCCGACAAGAGAAAGAGATTTCTGGACACTTTAGACAGAAATAACATCAAACACTACCTTCACTTATCCGACGTGGCCAAGTAAGTAATGATAAGAAAATGATTAGTCATTATTACCTAATGGCATGTGGTAGATACATGGCGTTGTTAACATATTTCTTTTATGAAGTCGTAGCTTTGTGTTGGGATATATAACAAAAATGCCTTTATCATTTTTTTGGAGGATCGTAAAGAAGTGCGTACACAGCACATTGAACATCGGACGTCCACTTATCACGGTTAAGCCACGTTTATCTTTAACATCAAGACCTCTATAAACAAGTCCCCTGTACCCTTGGGATCTTTATAGGGCTTTTCATAGTCTACAACCAATGACACTGTTTACTACCCATCCGTAGCAGATTATCCATCATTTCAAGAATTAACAGAATTCAACTTTGGCTTTTTGCTGTTTTTTTCTCACACACGATTTGCTAGATTAAATATAACTAATAATATTATAATTTTTTCTTTGTATCTGAATACATATTGTAAGAATAATGTCAACATCAATAAAATTATATAAAATATAAACTATTATTATAATTACGTAATTTCTTTGTGGGGATTAAAAAAAACTGGTGTTTACGTAAATTTCAAAACAAAATTATTCGCAGAGGATGTTTAAAACGGATTAGTTGTCTTTCACGTCTTACACTCGTTAGTAGAAGATAATGCATTTATTATGAAATATACATAAAGCGAACGTAAACCAAGTCTTTAATATATAATAGTTGCTTCGATGCACATTATCAGTACTAGTTTAAATCATTTTCATTATAATACTTTAATATCAAATCACTCTTTTAGGGCTTTGGAAGACAACGATGACGATTTGTCTAGTTGGGGACGTGACTCGAGCAGAGTTTTTGAAAAGTACGCAAGATACGCTGAGGTAGTTATGTTATATTGCATTCAAAATAATATAATATTTTATAACACTTTAATTATTTTTCTACAATCATATATACATATGTATTTCATACAAATTATACTCAAAACTTGTTTTATTTTTGTTTATTTTTTAAAGTATTTTATATACTAAACATGCATATATTTATGTATAACATTTCTATTTATTTAACGCTTTTAAATTCATCATCTATAGCCTTTGATAGTAGAGATTAACGATTTTGTCTCATGTAAAGGAAGCTTTTGGAATCAAAATATTGATTTAAGGAATGCAATAAGAATGTGAAGAATATTACTGTATAATATTTTATAGATAGATGCATACCTTGAGGAGGTAGCACGGACTTATCCGCAGATAGCGACGCTCGTGAACGCTGGACTCAGTTTCGAAGGTCGTGCTGTCAAATATTTAAAGGTAAGTAAACAAAATAGTACAGAGTCGCTGACATTGTTTAAGAAATGCTATATATATTAAAGCGGAAAACTTATTATAATTCATAAATACATAAAGCACGCTTATATATTAAAATAAATATAAATATTTGTAAGTAAATGATAGTGCTATAGCTTATATACTTGTTCAAACACAATATTACCATCCTATTTTATTGGTGAGCATCTCAAACAACCTCTAGATATCCACATCAAACTTCACTGACCCCAGCAAGCCTGTTTACTTCATCGACGCCACGATGCACGCTCGCGAGTGGATCACGACCCCACCCGCTCTGTTCACCATCCACCGTCTGGTGGAAGATCTTCGAGAACAAGACAGAGACTTACTGGAAGAAATCGACTGGATCGTGATGCCGCTGGTCAACCCTGACGGATATGAATACACTCACACTCAGGCAAGCTACTAACACTATCACATGAGATTAATAATATCACAACTCATAAATGTTTTCTTCACTAGGAACGTCTATGGCGGAGGACTCGTTCATTCAATATCACAAGACATCCTGAATGTTACGGAGTGGATGCGAATCGAAACTTCGACATAGACTTCCATGGCCTCGGCTCCAGCACCGACCCCTGCTCGAACACATTCCGTGGTCACGAACCCTTCTCAGAACCTGAAACAGGTTATGTTAGAGACGTGATACTAGAACACATTGATCGTATGCAAGTGTACCTTAACGTACACAGTCATGGTAACCTCATCTTGTACGGTTACGGCAACAGGACCTTACCCTCCAATGTAGTTCCTCTCCATCAAGTCGGTGCCGTCATGGGAGCAGCTATAGATCATAATAAACTCCTCGAGGCTCCCTACTATGTGGTTGGAAACAGTGCGCTCGTACTGTACATAAGCTCCGGCAGCGCGCAGGATTATGGACAGGTTAGAAAGTATTCAAAAAATTAACACTATACACTATACTGTACATTCGATATTTTTTTAATTAATTTACCTTATAATTATACTTAATTCCCAATCGAAAGTAATAAGCACATCTCTCTTATAAATTGAACATAAATGTTTTTCAAAGGAAAGTAATGTTTATCATATATTTTTAATGTTCAGGCGGTTGGTGTACCCTTCTCCTACACGCTGGAGTTGCCTGGAATGGGTTATGGGTTCCAGATTCCCGTCAGGTACGTCAACCAAGTCAATATGGAAACCTGGGAAGGCATCGCCGCATCAGCACGAATCGCTAAAATATATTACAGAGCAAGAAATCAATAATAATCTATATAACAATTAAAATTAGTAAAATATGTCTTTTATATAATTTATAAATGAAATTGGTTGTAATAAAAGATGGAATTATAAATTGTAAGGTTTTATTTGCTCATCTTTAGAAAGTTTTTCCGAGAAAAATACCGAGACGTGATTAAAGTGTCCGAAGGGAATGGGAAAGAAACATCCGTCTTAATTCTGTAACCCGTCACCCATTTTACAATTCTGACACAACTCAGACTGAACAATGTCAGGTGACGGGCTTTTAAGGGCGACGCCATTAACTGGCGTCTTCAAGTAAACTTCAAAATATTTCGCTTCTAGTTATCGAGATATCAAAATTTATTTATTCTAGTTTAACAATAATTACTGGCAATGCCTTGACAAATAATTATGAATATTTTGTACCAAGTCATAATTGCTATTAAAAATATTTCTTTTAAGGGCGCCAGCGCTTGCAAATCGTGTGACGTATAATTGCGACGATGCCAAATCGCTACTACAGTATCTGCTATCGCTTCACCTTCACACACGATCTGACACTGTATTCAGACGTTGCCGCTCCGTGCGTTCGATGTCAAAGCGCATTCCGAGAATACTGATTGTCGCATTATAGTTAAGTTTTAAAGTTAATTCATCGGTTATTAAAGAACCGTGTCACTGTGTCGCTTGTGTTTCATACAGATACACTCTCTATGTCCGTTACCGCTCTTCAAGTTATAAGTTTTTAGATACTTTTGTCTTTTACCTAACAATGTTTTTGTCTTACGAAATATTTGCTGCCTTCGGTGTATCTGCGGTAAGTCATGTTTTATTTTGGATTATTGCTTCGAAAATATATGAACCAAGTCTAGAATGGCTGCTTTAAACTTTAAAACAGACCGTTTACAAAGAGATATTCTTTGTAGTTTGTTGAAATGTAGAATGTTTAAAGAGAGAAATAATAATTTAATACCTTACCTTAACAAATGTAGAAAATAATAATTCTTGTAGACATATATTGCTAATGTTTTCTTACATATGGTTATTAAATATAAATCAACTATAAGGAATCTTTTACTTTGAAACTAGTTACATCTAACAAGTAATTTAAAGATTGTTAGCTCAAAGTATAAGCGTGATAATAATAATAATAATAAAACAATTATACAAATGAAACCCTTTCTAAACAATATGCCGAATAAATATCTTAATGTATGTTATTATTCAAACAGCTGGTATCATTCTTCGTGTCAGCGAGCTTACTCCTCACCATTGCATCTAAAAGCGGTATGTTGACGCCCAGAAGGAAAGGATTGCAGGAGAGCAATGGAAACGAGACCCTGATGGCTCACGCACCAGAAAAACCCACACCCAGTGCACCAGAGCTTGCTCTACTCACTCAATAACCAGATATATCAACATTGTTATATTGAAAAAGTGAGCTGAGGTGAGCTGGTGCGTGTTTATCGTCGCTATCCTAAAACTAACACAGTCAAGGTCGTTTAGGAGTATTTATAACTCCGTCGCATACTTAATGATAGATATGTTGGAAGAATAAAGGAAAAGGATACTTATGCGGATGATACTTCATAGTAGTACATAATGAACAGTATATAGACATTATATAAAACAACTATAATTTGTCTTTCTCACATACTTGTTTAAATTGAAGTCATTTTATAGAATATTTGAAATTTTATACCTTCATATATTTTCTTTCCCTCACACGATATGCTTCTTCTATTGCAGACCCTATTTATTAAGCCCTGTAGTATTAAATTAACTACTAACTAGACATGAGGGAAAACATACAAAATTTAACATATCTTTAATTTTAATTAGAATATTGAGAGGTTAAAAAACATTATTTGATATCACGCAATTTAAGATAAATTACCGAGAATTGACATATTATTTTAAATAATATTCATTTTGTACAAATTATATTAAAATATTGTATAAATGTATTACGAAAATATTTAAGGTAAAACAATATTTGTATTTTCACTTCATTGGTTATAATAATGTGTAAATAATATTTAATCATTTGTGTATATTTGTATAAGATATTATGGAAAATTAAATACTATGATCTGTTCAATAAACATTTTATTTAATAATATAAATTTATCAAAATACGTTGTATTTTTTTTCTGGGTTTTTCTTATCCCTCTCCTAGTGTATAGCGTTAGTTTATAATAATATATTTATGAAATAGAAATTTAAGCATAAAATGTATACAATATACGTATAGTACATAAGGAGTATTATTGATATCCATACTTGAGTATATTCCATTGATTTGATTAATATTTAAGTGTTGTAGTAGTCACTTATCGGTTCAATATAATTTATCTGAACAGTCGTACATATCACCTCTGAGAGTAGATCGTCCTTGGTGTAGTAATATTATCTCTAGTAAAATTCAATGTTAAAGGTTGCAGAGTGTTCCTTCTTTGACATTATTGAATTTCTCAACTCAATATCCTTCCAAAGCGACGGTTGCTGATTTGATTCCCGATCAATTTCCGCCATTCATTGATTTCATTACAGTCTTTGGTTGAAAAATTGCACCTTGATGTTGGTGAACGAAGTACGGAGGCATTTATGACGTCATAAATTGGGTTCAACCATCATAATATATATCTTTGATAGGCGACTCAGAGTGATTGATCTTAAGTATTAGTCGAAGAGCCCGCCGCCTGCGGGCCCCTAAGTAATCCTCGGTCAAAGAGCTCCGGCCTTTACAGTAATAAATAATCATTCGCTAGATCTAGTCTTAATAACTTCTAGTCTCATACATTTATATATGAATATATTCATGAATGTACTATAACATGTTAAAGGACACAGGTTCAAGAAGTAACCTTTTCATAAGAAATTAAATTCCACCATGAAGCCTAGAGCAAACGAACATGAATAATTCATTGTGCAGCGGTTGGAGGCGAGTGGCTGTTTCCTTAACAATGCATCTTTTACCTCGGATAGAGAGGAGCCAGTGTGTGAGTGCTTTACTAACTTATGGATTACACAGATATCAGATTACACGACGTTATGGGTTCTGAATACTTCGATCATACCGACTCCAGGAACACAGATAATGGATACTGTTTCAATAGAGGAGGTACAAGTAGCATTTTATATGAAGGTTAGTGGGGAAACGGAACTGTTATGACCTTGTTTAGGAGTATTCAAATATTTCTTCGTGGATTTAGTGGATCGTTCGTTTACATAATCTTATTTAAATATCAGTAGGTGATTGTAAAAATGCAACATATTTTTTTTTCCTCGTATAGGAATGTGTTATACAGTAAATCATTGAATTCTTTGTTGTTTTTGTAGAGAATGTTGTAAATTCTAAATTAATTTAAACATTCTTGAACCTTTAACCTCATCCAAGTCGTTAAATGTTTACAGTGTTATGTCGTTTACCTGATGCTGGTCATAACTCTTCACGTTATTTAGGACAGCTGTAAAAGCCTTTTCTTATATCTGACCCCTGAAAAGAGCAGTCGTTATGGAATGAGTAATAACTTGAGTCTAAGTAATTATCATCTCCTTTTAATTATCATTAACTGATACTTAATAGATTATTTAAGTAAAGTATGTTTGATATATATATATCTATATTCCCATATCAATAATCTTCGCAATGTTCAGATTTGCTGATGTTACTTCGACATAATAGTTGCATAATACTGGCGTCATACTTACTTTACATCACAACAGTCTTAGTATCTATTTTGTTTTAGTAAATTTCATTGTTATTACTATGTTATTCTATTCAAGAGATGTTTCATTAAACATTTTACATGTCACATTCTGGTAGCTGATGTATGGAAGGAGTATTGTTTGAGGTTAAAATATAGTTTTATTTTTAACAATTATCTTTGTATGCTTATTTTAAGTACTTAATTATTATAAAATCACAAATCCAGACGACCTTAAATTTGTTTTCATATAATATTTCATGGTCTTTAAAACACGTCACTTTTATACTTCGACGTCGTTTGTCAACTTTTAATCATACTAACAGTTTTTTTTTGTAATATATTATAATTTTTAAACGTTTATTATTTCGTTCTTTGCACTGTAATGTAATGTTATTTTACATCATTCTGTATTTCAAGGCAGGTTTCTCTCAAAGAGACTGTTGCTTATTTGATTCTCTGTCGTTTCCGCCGTTCTAAGATTCCATTATAGGTCGAGGTTCAATCGATAAAATGCTTATTTCATATAATTTCCGACTTCTTATTGTTATTGTAAATTACTCTATTGAGAACTATTAACACAAATCCTCAAATAAAATCGTAATTTAGTTAAAATGTTTCATCGTATATAAAGTTTAAGAATAGCTAGATATTAATAATAGCTTCTATTTGGTTGAAACGACCTTATTGGTTCACTTAAAATTAAGCTGTTATAAAGTTCTACAATACGTTACTGTGACGTTTTTATAAAGTACTTTTCTATATCATACCTATAGAATATTAAATTCTTCTGTCTTATAAACAGGGGCAAGACGCCAGTACAATTTTCTTTGTTGCTTCTGTGAGACCAATCCAATTGATTATCCCACTCCATCTTTCATTGTGGGAAACTGAATTGAACGAATCATTGCCATTGTTTTCGCACTTAAGTACATCTCTCTGAAAATAGATTTGCTCGTAAGAAGTTTCATTTAAATAAAACATACACTTACAAAGTTTTATTCAATTTGACACTCATTTTAACTACATATTATTAAATTAAGCAGCTGTCATAAATGGTAAGGATGACTTAAAAACTCTTGTTAAATGTACATATAAATTTGTTTTCAACGAATCAAGTATTTTTTTAATATAATATATCTTCATTTAAACTTAATGTTCTCTTAATGAACAGAGTTCTCATTGTAACTTTACTTCATACAAAAAACATATACAATATTTATATGTGTTCATATCGTATTAATTATCTTGAGGTGAAAAGGCAATTTAAAACAATTAGCTGTTCGTAGTGTTAACAACGAATAATAATATGCTTACAATAGTAACAAATGTAACTGGTGATGATATCTGAACGTCTATCACTGAACTTGGATATTCTTAAACAGAAACTAAGAAGGTTGGTTACTCACACAACAGCTAAGTTCACATTTTGGATTAGACTTCAAGCTATACGTATGTATATTCCTTAAGGTTAGTAAGAGGCGATAAAACATGTAAATTCTTTTATTTAAACTATTATCAATAATGATTCTAATCTTCTACATTGATTTTATTTATTGATTTAGCTTAGACTTAGTAATAACAGTTTATACCAAATAACTTCGGTTTACATTTTTTTTTCAAACCAGTTTCACATCGAGCCGATACATTCGACCTTCGCATTATATTCATCATCATCAACACGACCTTCCGAGGGCTCGACTTCATTAATTAACAATCCCTCAACGTCACTCATTCTATCGGTACATACTTTGAAACGTAATTGGCTTGTTTGCAGAAAATTTATATTAAAAATACACAAAAGGGTAAAACAGATTTAAGTACAACATCCTTTGAGATATATAAGATTGAATTTAGACGAGATTACAAGAAAATTGTTTTTAAATTTTTATATAAAAATTGTCTTTCCTTCCTTATTATAGTGTTCATGAGAACGAAATTGTTTGTAAATTGTGAAGTGCTACTTATAATTAAAAAATATCTCCTTTTTAATTCATAATTCTATCAACAACGCTTCAATTATAATAATAAAAAATATTCTAAATGATCTCACAGCTGTACTTGAATGATGCAGAATAAGAAAAAGATTAATTAGCAGTGTTCTTTAAGAATAAGATTTATTTTTGACTAAGTGTATCATGTTTTACAAACAAGAAATTTATTTGCCATAAACAGGAATGGATTTAAGGAAACATAATTTAAATTGTTAAAACATAATTATAAAACTAATATTATTTGCAAAGTTTCACCCACGGCTTACGGCCAGAACGGCACGAAAGTGCGCTTAATTGGAAAATTGGAACGAGTTCCGCCTATGTCAGGCGGAATATACCAAAATTCTTGTACACTAAAATATATTAAAATATCGACAGGTAAAGTAATTTAAAGAATACAATGAAATTACGTTGTGATACTATTCTTTTTCTATGAAATAGGTACTACTGGAGGTAGAAACATATATTCATAATAGAATTATGGAACATGTAAGCATTTTATATCCTTCACAATACATAATTTACAGTTAATAATAAATACGAATCCTTAGTAAATAAAAACCTAGTGGAATCAATGTAATTTTACTCCAATGAAGGCTACATAGGGTGTGATACGTTATCAAAGATTCGAGATTAAATTTTTGTGTCCAAGTACGAACACAAAGCACGAGCCAAATTCAGTCACGAAGCGTTAAGCAAACG